CAATTACTTATCAATTTGTCTTTCAAGGTATACTACAATGTTTAACACGCAGCTGAGAAGTCTCCAGAAAAAAAAGAAGAAGAAGAAAAAAAAAAGCCATGAAATCAGATGTACAGAAACGAGACAGTAAAAGACAATATCCGCTACCTGTCACATGACGGTCAATTTTTACAAACTGAACAGGCAAACGCAAAGTAGTTTTGATTTATACCAGCAAACAAATCTGATATTCTTCTAAATGCTGTTGGGATAGATTAGCCGCTAGCCAGCATCATATGGTGGAAAGAACATTAAGTTATCCATCCAGTATATCATCTACGATTCCGCTAAAGAGGAGAAAAAACGAAGTCGGTTAATGTAAGTTTCTTCGTCTCATTGTTGTTTTCACGTTTCCGCTAAAATGAAAATGTTTACTTTATGTAGTTAAGAGTCGTCGCCTTAGAGCGGCACTGTACGTCCACTTGTTTCTTGCAGTTAGTGCCAACCGCGATTGCAGAAAATAGATTAAACATAAAAGGTGTACAATAGCTAGCCTGCGCGATCGCTAATCCAGTAAAGGTTTTCAGAGTCCTGTTAAGACTTCTACGACCCTAGAGGACATAAAAAAAAGCGAAGATGGTATTGGAAATTTAGAATTGCATCCCTAAAGAAGACAAATCTGTGCGTGGCCCAGGGGCCTTAGTAGACTCCATTTGATCCCTAAAGAAGACAAATCTGTGCGTGGCCTTAGTAGACTCCACTGATCCCTAAAGAAGACAAATCTGTGCGTAGCCTTAGTAGACTCCATTTGATCCCTAAATAAAGGAGACCATTCTCCATCATATTGGTTTTCTGTTCTAAACGCCCCGAGTCTAGACTGCAAAACAGTCCGTATTTTTGCGTATTCAAGAACGCGCGAAAAGTCAAACAAAAGGTCTGGCCCCTGTTGTTCAAAAGGTGGATAAGGCTATACATCGGATAAATCTCTATCCACTGGATAGCGCAATTGGTTTTCCTAATATTTATCCTCTGGATAGCGTTTTATGCAGTGGATAGTGCTATCCATTGAACAACCGAGACCTGGAGTGAGGCTGAAAACGGAGAGCGAGACTGGCCCTACGGGCGTGTGAGGCTCGCGCGCGTGAGGCTCTTTAACTCTACACTAAACCGATTTTTAGGAGGGAAAAAGCGACTGTTTTGCAGTCTACCCTAAGTGAGACCACATTATGCAATCTCTCTACCCCTGAGCAAAACGACAGGCATCCCAGTCACTTTCATAGTGACCCCAGGGAAGACCTACAAATGTTCAACCCAATTTCCTTGGCTTTCTCGAGGATTAAAGCGCCAACATTTCAGTGAAACTCACTGCGTTATATAGCTTTACTATTTAATTCGTCTTTTGACTCGGCTCACTGACTTTTGAGATTGCACGTTTTGAAGGTCTTATAAATTCACGATGACGGGATATTATTTACTCACCCAGCTTTTAATAACCTTTTTTAACCTTTTCTAATTACACAGCAGTTTTAATATTTTTTTGTTTTCTTTATCTTTTTGTCTTGTTTGCTCACTTTCCCATCAAATTTGTATTCAAAAATCAAACAATATGATCTTGTAATATCGCTTTTTTAACCTCTAGGTGGCGAGGACGTGTCATTAATCGGATGGTCTAAAATCTCGGGTGAATTCAAATTTTTCTGTTTACTCTACTTTGACAAAGAAACATGGCCAATTTAACCATCCTTGTGCCCGAGGGAACAATTTCTTGGCAACTCCTCCGTGAAAATTTCACCTCCTCTTCGTCCACTGCCATCGCGGAAAAACTGAGCACGTTTATCAAGTATTGGAGGATCGCAAACGTTGTCCTTTATGTAGTTATCTTTGTTACCAGTGCGGTAGGAAATGGTTTGGTGTGTTTTATAATTATAAGAAGGAGAAGCATGAAGTCGGTCGTTAACTATTTGATTCTAAATCTGGCAATCGCTGACCTTATTTTTACCTGCGTTTGTATACCACTCGATATACCAGTGCAACAAATGAACTATGTTTGGCCTTACGGTGGTTTCATGTGTAAAGTTATCTACCCACTACAAACCCAAATTCTGTTTGCTTCAGTTTACACCCTCTTTGCGCTAAGCCTGACGAGATATCGGGCAGTGGTGCATCCGCTAAAACAACAGCTGACCACTGAACAAGTCAAGTGGGTGATCATGGCCATCTGGGTGGTATCGTTTCTCCCTGTGTCGCCATATATGGCAACGCTACGATTTAATAGCTCAACTCTGACTTGTGAGGAATATTGGAAAGACGTACGTTCAAGAAGAACTTACACCATCTGCCTTTTCCTTTTTCAATATGTAGTACCACTGACAGTAATCTCATGCGCTCATTTAGCTATTGCTCAAGACCTCAACAGACAAAAGACACGAGAGATAACCATCATACGTAGAATTCGTATTCAGGAAGGCCGTAAGGTTTCACGAATGCTCATTATAGTGACGCTGTTATTTGCCGTTTGCGTCCTACCAAATAACATTTTATGGTTGTGGTTGGACTTCGGAGAAGCGGACAAACACTTTGCTTATTTTACAGAGCTTTTGTCATTTGGCAACATTGTCGTGTTCTTAAACAGTGCTCTGAATCCTGTCTGCTATACGATGATGAACGATACTTATAAAAAACAATTAAGGGACATAATACATTCATGTCTAAGGCCGACAAGTCAAGAAGAAGTTGAACAGTCCTTAGACTAATCTGGACTAATACTACCAGCAGGCTGAAAACTAAGCATAGCCGTTCAAAGTCCATCATGTAAAGAGGATGTCGATTGATGTACATAGTATGTTTAAAAGATGGCTTAAAAGTTCGCATTCAGTTTAACACGGGTATGTCCAGGGAAAACAGCCCACCGTTGTGAAACTAATATACTTTGGCACTCCCAAAAAGAACCTACATTTCCATTTACACGACTGTTAGCGAAAGGAACATTATTTTCACATAAAATCACCACAACTGACCATTTCATAAACACTCGATCAATTTCATTTGTTTCATCAAGAAAAACGAGAGAAAGCGAAAAGAAAAAGTCAAGACTGTTGTTCCTCTTTTAAGCTCAGGTGACTGTTAAGGCGGATTAGTTAGGACGTTGCGGGGCGGAATGCAAATAAAACGCGCCGGCTTTTAATGGGGGCTCCCTTTTCTCTTTTCCCTTTTACGGTTTTCTCCCCCTCCACTCCTCTTTTTGAATTTGAAATCCGTAGAAGCGGAAGTTTGCGCGATCTCGAACTGCTACTGAAAATCCCACACCAGAAATTTAAAGTGTGCATGGTGTTTAGTAATTTCAAATAAAACGTAAATATATTTCGAACGTTATATTTTCATTAGCCGTGATAATTTAAAAGCCACACCACATAATCTTCATGATTATAAAATTCGCGTTACAATTTTTTGACGTTGTGCTAATAATTTTTCCAAGAGCCATAATGGCTTATGGCTCTTGTTTTTCCAAATTCATGCGAAACATACTACTGACCCGCTCCATACCGATGGTGGACCCGACAAGGGGGAGGGCCCTGTGTACTACTGGTGGACCCGGTGAGCGGGAGCGCCCTGGGGAAGGGTGGACCGGGTGAGGGGGAGTGCCCTGGGGACTAAGGGTGGAGCCAGTGACACATTGGTATGGGCATCCCCGCGTTTTCGGGCATCCCCATTCCCAAAACCCTTGTTCTATGGGCATCCCCTGTAACCCCAACCCTAACCTAAATCGCTAAGGTACGTAATATGAGAAGGGGATGCCCATATGATATCACTTAGGGTCTTGGGAATAGGGATACCCAAAACTCGGGGATGCCCATATCACTTTAACATAGGTGAGGGGGGCACCCTGGGGACTATGGCTGGACCCACCCAAGGGGAGCACCCTGGGGAATAGGGGTAGACCCGCTAATATCATAGCACGCGCTTAAGGTTCTAAACCAAGTACCATCAATTTCTACGCGACATTTTTTTGCGGAATCTTTTCAAATATGTGTTTAAAACTGATTCAATGTTTTTGAGGATACCATGTATCTAGCCGATTTTTTTGAAAACCAACCTAACGAAATTTGCAGTCATTTGACTGAAAAGGCGTCAAAAGGCAGGCTTTTTGGCCCCGATAAGCTCAAAACTCACACTAACGAGGGAAAAGAACAGGAGAAAAAGAAAGAGCAAGGAGGAAGAAAGGAGGAGAAGAGAAAAAAGCAATGGTTGCACTCTTAGTTTTTATAATGGCAAGAGCCATAATAGGGTCCTATTATGGCTCTTGATAATGGCTACTTTGGAGATAGTCTTTGGCCGAAAAATACTGTTGGACGCAAAAGGTCTATTTGGCGGTAACGTTTCCAAAAATCGGGCTAGATATAAAAAGGGGTGAACAATCCATATTGAGACAGAAAACTACTTATCAGCAAAAATATATTTTTTTAAAGAATAAAAGAAGTTTCAACGAAATGAAATACCCGCGCCGTGGCGCACACAGATGATAACACTCACGTCACTCACGCACGTTAGGTAGTTGTGAGAAGCACAAATCCTTCGGCTTTATCGATAAGTTATCTGTGTATGAGAGTCTCTCTCTAATTATGAGATTTTTGACTTAAGCGACTGAACATCCAAACATATTTGTAATTTTAAGAGCGTTTAAAGGAAAATAGAGAATACTTCATTTTTTACCCAGCCAATAAAGGGGTTGTATTTTCACACAGTAGTATGTGTGGTGTACAAACTATTTTTGACTTTCAACTGAGGGCACATTTCGATTTTTAATAAAAAGACAACTGGACTCTTTGACTTTAATTCATTACGTTTTATTCAAAAGAATATTAAATAGAGTAAAATACATTTCAAAATATTACATACAATCTTCCTGGCCAGCAGCGGTGAACAAGCTACCGTATAAAGAACAAGCCCACAGTGAAAAACCCAAATAAAAGCCTTCGTTTTTACATTATTTTTATTAACACAAATTCCGTTCTCACACATTTTGAAAGTTATGCATTGCATTTCATTATTCTGCGTAAAATCATGAAGAATAATGCTACTTAAAAAAACCTACCGAAATTTAGCACAGCGTTAGCCATTACTAATACTTTTAAATCTTTTTAGACATGGAAAATCAGGACTTAATTTCTAAGTGGTCTAAAGCAATGCATCCACTAACATTTCAGCTTTAAGCGGTTTTTTTGTTGTTGTTGTGCCTAGCTTATCAATTATCTTGCCTTTTGGAAAGACTCGTCAACCATCGTCATGTCTTCAGAATAGCCATCGTTATAAGACCTGAAAAAGATTTTATACTTCAAATACAATGGCTTCGATCTACGTCGTGAAAACTTAATTTAAGCCATTTCCGATTTTCCTTTTAAAACGAGGTTAAGTGCAAAACCTTTCAGGTGAAAATGTGTTTTATTTGCACGAGAATAAAGAATCACTTTCATATCAATGGCTTTACACTTAGCCTCGCTTTGAAACAGAGGCTCTGGGCAACTCACGAATGGCCCATTCTAATTTATTGTGGGATGGTGTACATTGCTACGCGGGTACCCTGGTTTCAGGGGTCAGCTTTCTTGCTTAAGGAGAAACTGAGTAACAGAAGAAAAGAAAACCTCTGGGACCGGGGAAATTTTATGCTTTATAAGTGGCTAAAACATTTTGTGCTTCAAAAAATTAAATGAAAGGGCCATAGCAAGACTACTGTATGGCCGGGGCAAGACTAACCTACCAGCAAGCTCTCTATTTGGGGGATATGGTGAAAAGTACACGCGCGAGTGGCACGCGAGCGCTCGCTCGTGTGGCTCACTTCACGCGCCCAAATGGAGAACTTGTTTGCCGGCTAGGGCAAGACCTGCGGTCAGCAAGGCACATCTAAAGGGGGTCTAGGGGAATGACCCTCCGGAAAAACTTTGAAATCTGGAAGCTATGTGATGGTTTCTTAAAAGCCCGATTCCTATCGTTAGTGGGATTCTGGATTCCTTGAGCTGAATTATGGATTCTAAAGACAAGGATTCTGGATTCCACCAGCCAAAATTTCCAGGATTCTGGATTCCCGATTATTATTATTACTGTTACACTACTACAAGAAAAATTACTGCAATGTGATTGGCTTAGAGCAGTGGTATTTCAGCTTAATTTTAAATACCTACATGTGAAAATTACAAACCTTTTGCGGGTGGTAGCATAAACAAATAATAGCATGACTTGTACGTGATATTTGGCATAAATACCACTCGTGATATTTCAAAATCGTCTCAAATTTCTCTCGCCTAACGGCTCGTGAAATTACATATAACAATTTCGAAATATCACTCGCGGTATTTATGCCAAATATCACTACAAATCATGCTATTACCTATACAAATACTATTTCTCTGACATTAACAATACCATTACCACTTTTAAAAAGGGTTTGATCTTGGATAATATGGGTAAAATAACTATATAATTACCTAAAATAAAGGCAGCCAACAATTTCTGGTTGACAGACAAATGTAAATACTGTGGTATTAGATCTGAACGTTGCTTGTCTCCTTCCAGTGGCAACATGAGAGCAATAATACAGACAACAGCCATCATAATTACCCACAAACTAGGAGCATTCTGACCTCCAAATCCTGTTTATTGAATAAGGACAAAAAGCTATTTTTAGAGAATGATCTGCACTAGGGTATACCTACCATCATTTTTACACAGAGGAGTATGATTTTTGTCCAAAATTGCAGGTTGTGGTAGAGGAACGATCATTATGCCAAGGCATCCCAAAGAGTTCAAAGGGAAGGAGATGATACCCTATAGAACTCCTCAATTTGGATATTTTGCACTTTACTATTCACGATCGTTAACTTGGACTTCCTTTTCACATGTTTTCACACATTGGTTCTTGCTTATCTTGTTAATTATTTCTAAAAAATAACTAAGGGCATTTAAGGTAGTGGTGATAGCTCAGTTTTTTGCCACGTGTTAGAATCTCCAAGTAGCGGGGTAGAGGTATCCTCTACCAACAGGAGACATAAGGTGACTCCTACCCTCTGCTAGCTTACAGGACCCCTGAGGGCAGGATGGAAAACCCAACCTGCCCTCCACCTCCACCCCTCCAATCATGGTTGCCACAGCCAGAGGTTTCTGAAATTCTGACTTTTCGCTGACTTTTTCCAGACAAAATATGTAAAATTTCCCTGACCAACTGAATTAACTATCTCACACATTTGACCTGCTGATGGACTCAACCTTCCCCTCACAGCAATCCCCTCCAGCCATTTATTTATGCTTTCAGCAACTCAAGTGCAGTGTAAAAGAAATTGATGTTCTTGAAAAGCCAGCATTGGCTTGTCATTCAATTTCATGAACAATATTCAACCAATACGACACGATTCATGTGCATACAATGCACAAAAGAATTTTAAATAGTAGAAAACAGTAAAGGTACTGGGAAAAGAATAAACATGTACTCTTAAAATTTAACTTTTCCCTGACCTTGAAGAAATTTTATTTTCCCTGACCTGTGGCAACTATGCCAAAAAAATCAGGGTTATGTGAAGTCATGGGAGCGGATGAAGGACGATTTGATGATGTTATAACTAGAACAGTGTCGGCTCTCGAAAATGGCGCCAGGCATAGAATCCCCCTGCTTTGGACATTAGGTGGGGCTACTTATCTTGTAAAGATACCGCCTAGGGAACAAAGACTAGTGACCCTACTTCCCGAAACAATTCATCACAACAATCCAAAAAAAAAACAATGGAGACTATAAAGGAAACAATCATGAGAATCTGACTAGTCTAAATAATTTCTAGTAATCAGATTTCTAATCCTTTATGCACCAGTCTCATACCTATGGATAAAAACCTTACCTGAGTCTGCAAATTGTTCAACAGTGACACTACTACTTCCTATTCTTTGTGTCCCCCTCCTTGTAGATGGTCGTTCTTTGCTCTTCTATATGTTAAAAAATGTGAAAAAATTATTGAGAAACAATTTGAACCTGGTTCTTATAATCACTTACCTACCTGCGGCAATTAGCCAATGGTACTGCCTGGAATAGTAATACTGTTATGATGTCTGGGAAAATAAGCTGCTGGCAACTTTTTATATTGGAAGAGTGTCTTGGTCAGAACTGTTGTAGTGAAAGCCAAGCTTTATGAGTGAAAAATAATCAGTTTTCACAAGCTGAGGAAAATTCATTCACATTCAACAAATCCTAAGATCGCTTAATTTAAGTGACTGTTCTCCAATGAAACTCTACAAAATAATAAAAAAAAACGTAACAAACTAAAGAAAGAATTCTCACAAGTACAGGGTTCCGAAAAAATAAAAAAATGTGAATTCCAGCTTATCCTTGGGGCAAGCAGCTCACACAGTTTGAAGTCCTGTTCCATTAGCTTTCCAACCTGATTTTTCGGAAACTTTTTGTAAGTAGTAAACAGGTTACCACTGTCTCAAGTATTTTTTGACACTCTGGTTGAGGCACAATAGCTGACTGGCATTTACCTGTTTTGGTTCAGTTCTGCTGGGCTGAAGGACAGCGATAATTTCTTTTTTACCAATAACATCTTGAAGGCCATGCTCAAAGATGTGAAGTCTAAACTTGTCTTGTTGTGTAATGCCAGGTTGAATGTCAATGTGGCGTATCACTCTAAAGATAAAGAGGTTAAAAGGTACAACTTGGCTATTTGACAAATAGACAAAACTATTTTCCCTGTTGTAGCTTTCATACCCTTATAGACCATAGCAATGAAATCCTAATGTTCTAAACTCAAGTTTCACAGTAACGTTTTGAACACCATTGTCATTTCTGTGGACTGGAATAGTGATTGTCTATTTTTTATATAATAACATTGATAGTTTTAACCTCCATTTCCAGTGACGTTTCTTGGAAAACTGCTGCATGCAGATAAATAGTGGAGAGTGGAGTGGAGTAGAGACTCAATTTGGAGAGTGTAACACTTAACAACTGTTAAACTTGTGGTCCTTAATAACCTATTTAGTACATATATCTAAACTGCAGTCATTACATCATTTCTATAGTCTATACTCTCATAGATCCCACCTTTCAACCAATCAGCAAGTGGGAAATTGTCGTAAAAATATAAGTGACAAGTTAAATATCCAGAAAACATTTGGGCTATAACTACTTTTAATTACTGTGGAGGCGTAAGTGGCCAAGCTGTTAACACCTCAAACTCTGGATCTGGATGTCTAACGTTCATCTCTTGCCTATCTCGTTGTTTCCTTAGACAAGGAACTTTACTCCACTTTGTCTCTCTTCACCCAGGTGTATAAATGGGTACCGGAGACATACTCCTGGGTGGTAACCCTGCTATGGACAAGCATCCCATCCAGGGGCAAGTAGCAATACTTCTAGGCTTGTTTCATGCCATGGAAACCAGAAATAAGCTCCGGCCGTGTGGGCCCTTGGCTTGTGTGCACCTTCACCTTACTTTTATTAAAAAACTGAATCATTGGATAATGCAATTCTAGAGCTCTGATTGGGTTAGCCATCATGGTATATGAGCAATCATACCACACTCTCCAAATGTGGTGACTGTACACGTCTGCTCAAAATAAAAACAAGCTGAAAATCGGTTGTTTTTGCAAATAAAGTCAGGAAGAATTCTCGATATTTTGGGGTGTTTTTAATAAAACAATCACGCCACTCGTGCTTGTTGGATATGAGATGATTATAGCCAACTCATATCCAACGCGCACTCGTGGAATAATTGTTAAATATGATACCTACATGTCAATACAGCATCTGGGTTTGATTACACCATCCGAATCTACCACAATATATCTGCTTGGAGCTGTGCACAAGACTAAAACAAAAAAACGCCTAGTGAGATACCAGTATGTAAATTGAACGCCCTGAAATAAGCAATCAAGGGTGAGTAGGCATTTCATGAAATTCAATATTACAATAAGCATTTTAGATGTAAGCTAAAATTATTTTGTAATGACATATACAATTAGTTAACGACCTCGGGTCTAATAATCTGTTTAACTTGGCACCTTTAAATCGTAAAGCGAACTCGTAAGGGTTGTAAACCGTAAGAACTTGCTTGTGACTGGCCTGTTCATCAGCACAAAAAGTCAGCGATTGTGGAAATACAAAAACCGGCAGACTTCCATCAGTAAAATGTGAAGGTTGTAGTGACCTCATACAAATGAAAAACTTCCTCAGTGCTTTATTTCACCAGTAAACGAGAAATCTGTCAAGAGAACAGAATACACAATATTTATCCCAAATTTTCATACTTTTATAGTATATATTAAAACAATCTATGTATATTCATTTCCATTGTACGTGCAATATTCGTTATAAAACATTATGCCGATCTCTATACAATGCAGCAGCAGACTCGGTAATAAGGCTACAGAACACAACAAGCAGATTAAAACTTTACCTGAAAACTCTCTCAGAATCTAGGAAAAAGTTTTAAAAACAGGCCGGAATGTTTATCGAGGTCTTAACATCTTCAAAGGCACGAAATCAGCACAAACGATTGAAAAACGAAACAAATCCCTTTGTTTACTTCGGACAGCTGAGCATCATGGGACTTACCTTCGACTCTCGGTTTGTATGTCATGTAAACCTAACTCTACTGTCCTGAATACTATTACAGACGGACAGGTCGATGGGTGGAACACGGCCACCAAAGCTGAATTTAGTAGACAATAGGCGATTATTTTAAAAAAACTAGAGGTATTGATAGATTACGGATCCGCGTTTGTCACTTACGGAAACGAAATCGAGTCGAAAGGAGTCCAGTTTCCCGGCCGCGATGCCCCTGATAAAATTAATTCCACAGCTTGGAATGAAGGCGCCGTCATACAAGACATGCGTGACGCACCATCATCAAGCTCTATAAGAACAAAGGTGACCGCTCAGTCTGAACAGACTGTAACAACTATCGTGTATATCGAGGCATTCCTCTCATGAGTATTGCCGGTAAAGTTGTCGCCCGCGTGCTCCTTATCAGACTGCAAGCAACGGCTGGCCGCGTATACCCTAAGTCCCCGTGCTGTTTCCGGGCGGGGAGATCCACCACGGACATGATTGTCACTGTGCGCCAGCTACAGGAGAAGTCACGTGAACAAGGTAAGCCGCTCTATCTAGCCTTTATTGACCCGACCAAGGCGATTGACCTTGTGATTAGAAAAGGTCTGTTCCAGCTCCTAGAGAAGATAGGATGTTCGTCCACGCTCATCAACCAGTGATTGTCTCCTACCACGAACGCATCATGGGCACCGTGTATGAAGAGCGGAGTGAAACAGGGCTGTGTCTTAGCCCCGACACTCTTTGGAATCTTCTTCTCCTCCTCTTGTCCCATGTCTTTGACTCTTCCACTGACGGTGTGTACCCAGTCCATACCCTCTTCAGGGTGGCTCTCCTCCTCTCCAAGACCAAAGTCAAAACTGTACTTGTGCGTGATGTCCATGCTCTTTGCTGATGATGCTGCCTTGGCAACACATCCCGAGAGAGCAATGCAGAGACCCATCAACAAATTCGGCAGCAAGTGTGAAAACTTTGGCCTCACTGAATCAGCCTCAAGAAAATCAATGTGAGCATGAGTGCCCAGGATGTTTTAATTAGCCAAGCCTCTGAAATCAAAATCGGCGACCACCCTTCGATTTAATCATCTCCATATGAACTCGAGCTTCGACTCAGAAATCTCCCGAAGAATCAGCAAAGCACCGGCACCATGTCCAAATTGAAAAAAGAGAGCCTGGAAAAAGAAATACCTGACTGAGAACACCAAAATGTATATCTATATCAGGCGTTCTCAGCACCTTGCTCTGCGGCAGTGAACTTGGACCACCTAAATGAGACAGAACGCCGCTTGAACTCTTTTCATTTGCGATGCCTCAGGCGCATCCTCGGCGTCAAGTGGCAAGACCATATCACCAACAGTGAGATATCCCCAGCATGCCCTCCCTTTGCAGCCAGCGCCGCCTGAGATGGCTCGGACATGTTCATCGCATGGATGATGGACGCATCCCCAAGAAAGTTTTATTCGGACAATTGAAAACAGGAGTCAGGAAAGCCGGGCGCCCAGCCCTGCGGTTCATGGAAGCTAACAAACGTGACCTCAAAACATGCGAAATTGATCCAAGCAATCGGGACGATGCTGCTAGTGAACGTGCCCGCAGGAGACGGACAGTGAAAAAAGGAATCGAGAATGCAGGCGTGAAACCTTGCTTTACAATCTGCTTTAGGATTTTGCTAAGTCGGGGAGTGGCTTAAAATGGAAGCGAGGGAAAACAAAACAGACGAACTGTTTTCTTCTGTTCTCCTCATTTGTCTCTAATGTCTCTTGTTTCCCCCCTCCTCTCCACCCTATTGCTTAATTTTTCTGTTTCTCATGTATCCCGTTTCCCCCCTTTTCGCCTCTACTTTCCTCTTTTCACACAAACCTCCGCCTCCGGCCAAGGCAAACCCTGAAAATGAGCGTTCCTTAGCTTGTGAACAGACTTTCTTGCGCTGGAAAAAGAGAAAATAAATAGCATTGAGAGCATGATCTCAAACAAATAAACGCTTCATCTAGAAATATGCCTTTGGTGAAGAGCGATGGAAAAATTGCCTTCACTTCTGTTTAATATATTAAACTAGTAGTTAGTGGAAACGACACTTTTAAAAATGTCTGTCCTTTCTACACCTGGAACCTCAATGCCTAGCCACTTCCTTGTTGGGGAATACATGACGAGGAAGGAACGTTAACGTACACGGCTAATTGGAGATGTTACCTGAAAACGACAGAGTGTATACAACATGCCAGTGAGGACGTAGAGACAGACGTGCAAGGCGCGGCATTGACAAAACATGCAAGGCATAGTTAGAGAACCAAATACTAAGGCAGAGTCGCATCCAACCTAGCCTCCCACGCAGGCGTTGTAAGGGGAGCTCGTTTTTCATCCCTCCCCACAAGGGGAAGGGATGAAAAACGAGCTCCCCTAAAAGCGCCTGCGTGGGAGGCTACATCCAACCGCGCCTAAAGAGAAGAAGCTGACGTCCCTGGCCAGCCAATATTGGGATAAACAACCCGCTCTGAGGTATACCATTCGCCTACAGGAAAACAGCCCTTCAACGGAGAAACAAATCTGCATGTGCAAGATAAGTACTACCATTTGTTACACGATATCACCCGGCTTCCGTTACCGCTAACCTAAAGTAAATACCAATGGGCAATCAGTGAAATGTCACCTTATACCAATGATCCGAGAAACGTTTTTTGGCAGCATCTCTTTATATCATACCGCTAGTGAAAATCTCTTAGAGCGCCATTTTAGTGAGAACGAAGGTATGAGGATCAATAGAAAATCCTTTACAAACTGCAGGAGTAGTGCAGGCCCTTCAAAGTGTTTTGTACTAACGAGTTGTTTGTGCCTCGTACGTTTTCAAGGGCCTCAGATGCCTCGCACGACTCTCTAGCCTTCCACGGGTGACGAACCGCTAAGAACGTCTGCATGGGAGGCTGACGACTCGCTCGCACATTACGCACTTCATCCCCAAATGACACTCAGATGCATTCTCTTTTACGTAGCCTTGCCCGCCGGAATTAACCCATTAACCAAAAGGAAAATAGAGCCTGATCTTAGTAGGGAAGCGAACAGCAGACACCTCGGTATTGAAGGCAGGCCGCAAAGAACAGCGCGAAATTTGTTGTAGGAAAATTGGCTCATTCAAATTGTGTTTTGATAAACGAATGAAATGCTAAAAACCCATAGTAATTTCCCGACGTCTTCACTGGTTTTAGCATTTCATTGGCAAATTGTTTTTTTCTACGCTTAAGGTGGCTCCGTAATTAATACAAGAGCATTTAACTGTGACAAATTTTCCGTCATAACTTTTTCGATTTTAACGCGATGGCTGCGAAACTTGGCAAAGAACAACAGATATCATTCGGCAATAACACAAAATATTCCGATTTCACTGATGGTAAATATTTCTTGAGAAATTAGTGCTTAAAAGGACCCTACTGTTCAAAGAAAATCGCGTCTAGTAAAAAATTTTGCTGAGATTTTTTACTGAAATTTCTTGTATCGGCTTTAATTGATATAATAAATATGCCAGAGGAATTTCAGAAAGATCGTTGGAGCAGAAGTCCGTAACTAAACGTCGGTCAAAATTCAGCTGTGAAATTGTTTTGGAATTTCAAAAATAAATTACTATCAGGTAGAAGGAGCCACCAGTTTGAATTTTCGGGACAAGTAAATTCAACGCTTGCTAATTCTTAAAACAAAAGCCGATTGCCTATCGTGCTATTCTTTGAAAAGGTACTTTTTTAGTTTTAGAAGAACTATAAATTGCTCCAAACCTTGCTCTGAAGTAGAATGACTTGTTCGTCGACAGTTTTAAAATATCCTTGGCAGTTTTGGCTCAAACTCCTGCTGCATACATTTTGATGTATTGCCATGCATTTTCAACGACTTTTACTGCCTTTCGTTGCTTCAACTCAGGAAAAAAGTATTGAGATTGGACGCTACCTCGTATCAGAGCTCAGAAAGAACTGTCCAGCACCTTTGTTTATGACTACAAAATGAGCACGAGCGGCAGTTCTGCGTGGAATTCGCACCCTCACCCAGGGGGACGAACGACAATGATGACCATGCTTGTGAACCAAATAACATCACAGTGCAAAATAAAATTATCGCAAAAATACTGCCCGTGAATAAATTTACAACTCTGAAATTTTTGTCACTCCTTCCTTCAATGAATGGGTATTTTTTTTGATTATTATGTTTTGCTCTGCAATACATGTTTATACAGATCGGTTCATAGACATGGGCAGCCGACTGAATACTTTTTTACTAGCTTTTTCTTTGAACAGTAGGGTCATTTTCCCGAACAGCAGCTGGTAATCGAATGATGTCCTAACAAAGCCAATCAAAATCGATTTCGGAAAATTTGAATATATTTTTTGGATCTTTGATTTTCCCGAACAGTTAACCTGTCAATCAGTTTCTGAATAATTTTTTATCTTGAAATGAATTTTTTCTACACTCCATGCCAAAAAATAGGTTTATTCAAAACAGTTGTTAACCTACTATAAGTATAAATAATACACACCGAACAAAAGTTATTTACAAATAATATTCACAATGGCAAAAAAGATGAAAAGTCCCTGCCACTTTATATACAGTCAACTCTCTTGTAAGCGACCACACATGGTGCGCGACAAAGCGGTCACTTAACACTTGAGGAAGGTGGTAGCCCGAGTATCAGGCGTTTTGGGGGAAAGAGACAAGCGAAAAAGGGAGGTTTTTTTAACTTTTCCCGTACATGACCACCTTCCTAACCTGAGTTACCGTGCGATTCACAAAAAAATGAAACTTTGGAAGTCAAGAACACCTTGTTACTTCGGTGTTATATCCTAAACCTGCGTCGCAGACCGCCTAAATCCCCGATACGATTCTTTTCCCGCGTTAAACGTCTGCAGCTTGTACTTCAGTGCTTCGCATTCTGATTGGTTTATCGTTTTTTGTGCTTGCTCTGATTGGTCAAAGTCTGCACGTTTGTTTTGAAAAGAACCAACCTAAATCAACCAACCACAACAGGCGTAGACAATACCATGAACCAATCAAACCTACCGCATGTTTCCAACGCAAGAAAATACGTTCTTATTGGTGGAGAAAGTGGCGCGAGACTTAATAGCCAATGAAAATTCGTAGATCATTAAATTATGTTGAATCAAATATCTTCAACATAACTTTTCATACTTTATCCAAAACCGGACACAAATATAATTAAGGGACAAAGCCAGGTCGTTCGGGACCATGTAAGTTTTTGTTCCCAGCCAGACGACCTAACTCAAAACATCAGAATGCGTCAAATTGTTTGCAATTTCAGTTTGACTCTCTTGAGCTGACGTTGTTGCACTTTACATTATGAAAAACAATATTCAGCAGTTTAATCTTGACATTGCAGTCCTTTGAAATTAAGCGAACAAAGCAGAGACTGTAACAGCCTAAAATATAACTTGATTCATTCAATGATGATTAACCACCTTCTTTTATCTACAACCATGACATGAGTCACGTTGCATGTTATTAGGGCCACGTCCACTCGAATCCTGACTTACTTTTGATTCGGATTCACTGGTTTCGTGTGGAAGGAAGGCCGATTCATGTAAAAGCATATGCGGTTTAAAAAATGTCCGTGGAAATAGCCTAAGACCGCCCCCATGGCCAAACATAAAGTTTACTGAGCAATGTTCCCAGCTAAACTTAACTAAGAAAACCTTGTATGCATTTATGACAGGCTTATAATAATTATTATAAGTTACATTATTTATAACCTAGTAAACACGCAACTCTGATAACATGTGACTTTTCAGCTGATTCTATGAACAGAAAATTGATATTAAAAAATTGACCAGTATGCATTTTCTCTTCCTAGATTACTGTGAGTTGCTAGAATTCAATGAGCCTTTAATCACTTGAATGGAGAACCGGACAACTTTCATCTCTCAATCTTACTTCCTTTCTACACCATGTCAACCTAACAGAATCTATTGCATTTCTATTTTACACACACACCAATTGTTAAAATAACACAGTACTCAAAAGGCACTTGCAAATTGGCGGATTTTGAAAGCCTATCATCATGAGCCTATGCAAAAGTAAACAGGATCAAAAGTCTCTCCTCTATCAGCATCTAAAATAAATCAATAAACCAGTGACCTGTAGAATGTTGTCTGTACTAAAACCTTTCTCTGGAAAATAAAGCACTTTTCTCACCATAGGTTTGTTTTCCCTAGGATAAAACTATGTACAATTAAAAAGTAAACATTACACTTTTCGAGACTTGACAGGGTTTTCAGGGTTAAATCTTCCTGAAAAAGCCACATTGTGATAGCCACCGCTTGTGCGGTACATTGACTTTGGTGTTGGAGCAACAGCGGACAGCAAGTCAGCACTCAAATCTTCTATCATCTGGTTTTCTCCCCTGTTAGGTAAAAACGTTTCCAGTGTCAGTTGTTTTAATTTAACTAGCAGACTTTAAATGAAGTCATAGACTATTCTTAATGCAATGACTTGTCAGTAGGATACCTAAGTAAAAAGTATGTAATTCAACTTGTTTTTAATGACTGTGGCTCTATTGAATAGAGAAGGCTATTACGATTTTGTTAAGGGATGAATAAAAACTGATGCTCTTAACCCTTTAGGCCCTAAGAGTGACCAACATCAATTTTCTCCTAACAACATCAGCAGATCATTAAGAGTAACGGTTATGACAATTACTAAATTGATTACCAAGGGGAGAAAATGGGCATATCCCTATAAACCCTAACATAAATATATTTATTTTCACGTGTCTAGTTACAATTCCTCTACTCAGAGGTAGTAGGAAAATATTGTTTACAGCTGTTTCGGATAACACGCGACCTGTGATATAAAAAACGTCTTTGGACTTTGGGTTTTTCTGCGACATCGATCAAAATCTGAAGGCTCGGTGCTTGCTCACAGACCTCTTAGGAAACAGAAATTTACTTCAACCGGTTCAAAAGATCATGGTTTGCGATTTGTGGATGTCGATCCATTTTGTGTAGTGTGTCGGGAGGATTTGTGCTACGATGTTCTTTTGTGTGATGTTAAGTTTTCACCTTTTAGCTTTTAAGTTTTTTTGCCTTCTTACTGAAACATGGCAAGTTTAGATTCCCAAGGTGAAGTTGTTCCTAGCTTCCAAATCCACAAGAAACACAGATATGGGAGAGTGAAAACAAATCAGCACTTTCCCGCAAACATTTAATTTTGCAGCTTCTGCTCATTATTGCTGCCTTTATTTGACACGCAAGGATTGGATGCTATGGTAACAGTTTGATTGACATAGAAGAAAAAGCCAAAATCCCCAAACTTTTTTGACAATGCACGTCATGTGTTATCCGAAACAGCTGTAAGTATCAAGTTGATTTGTTGCTGTGATTTTATCCTTAATAATCAATAATCGTGACTACTCTCCTTTACACAGCAAAGATATAACAAGGAAGAAAATCAATAGTGATAACTCTTAAGGCTTAAAGGGCATTTGTTGGGTCTGATGACCATGCTGTAGTATCAAAAAAGTACCACTTACTTGGATGAGTGTCTTTTAATTGGAGGACGTGCTCTGCGACACTTCAAACACACAACAACAGCTGCTGCTATGAGGCCTACAGCTGCACACACTAAAGAAACCGTCACAGCCAAGTTTCTGGAACTGCTCACTCCATCATATTCTTTTACATCGCTATTTACCACACTCTCTTGTTGCTTTAAGTGACCACAGGAAGAAAGGTCACTAAGCACTCTAACGGCAAATGTGTTGTAACCTGGTAAGGGAAAACAAGAAAAATGACATGTGAAGCTACTAAATTAAAATACCATAATTGATCTAATAGACATCCTCTCTCAAAAAAAGCCTCAGTCTTGTCTAATAAACAACCCCCCACCCCACCAATACACTCTTAGATTTTGCCATAAAAGCCCCTCTCTAATAAACGTCTCCTGTCCAATAGACGCCCCACATGACAGTTTATCCAAAATACTACGAAATAGTGACAGGGCAAAATCATTCAATTTATTCAGTTTCGTGTTTGCTTAACAACAGTTGGTGCATTGTATTTTGTTCAATGCCAAGTTCTAAGTAAGGATTCAGACATCAACACTGAGCTTTTAAAAAACAATTTGGATCTCTTAACAGCATAGACATATCAATGGATAGTCTACTATTATTCTATACACTGTGGTGATATATTCACCGAAAAGATATTAATTTTGTGGAGTTATGAGTTATTTTGTGGAGTTACAGTTATGAGAGTAAATGGCACCTATCTATTAAACACCCCTAGGTATCTTTTAGATCATTTAAGGAATAATAATATTTTTTATAATTATTTATTCAAAATATTTCTCGGTTTCTGATTGGCTCAAATCTCACAGCTAATAATATTTTTCATAACTAGCTAGCTTTGATGTCATTAGTACAGCGAAATCACCAGAAAAAGAGACCCCAACTGAGAGACCCTGGGGACCTGCCGCTAACAGGGTTGTCATGGTTACCTTCTGGGATTGCTAGTGGCTCCCTCAGTTTGACAGGGCACCATTGCCACACCCATCTACTGTCGATGGGTTCAATTCTTTCTATCTTGCTTCCAACTACTGATTAAAAAGGCACACCTTGGAAGGAACTTACCTAAGTCAATGACATTCTTGTGTTCAATAAGCAGGTTATGAAACTGGCAGATGAGCTGATTCACTGAATGACCCTTAACAGGTTTGATTTCCATGCTTACTTCTGCACTGATACTGTCTCTACACTGAAGTAACACAGATCCATCCACAATGTTTGCAACACTATAACTACAGTTGCAAGCCTCGGCAATGCTAGAGGTCACTCCTTGGCTGATACGAGAAACTGCAACAGCTCCCTGGTAAAAGAACGCAGAGAAATTCAGTCAACTTAAAATAAAGGCGGGGATTCAGCCTTGAGATGATTCCAATTTTGAATTGAAAAAAAAAAGCATTCCTCAGTCAGTGGGCTAAATCCAAGTAGGGAACCCTTACTGGTTTATTACTGACTTGAGATGCATCAATTTACACCTGAACTGTGACATAAATGTACAATTATTCATGTAGGTGATCCTTTCTAATACTATGGCTTAATTTTTACTTCTAGGGGTCACTTACTCTCTATAAAGGAAAAGAAATCCATGTATGAATGTTTGTGCAAAAGTGTGAATTTATACTCAAGAAAATTAATGACATGTGCACAATATTTACGTTGTAAGAATTAAAAACGGTATCCTGGTCCCAGAGGTTTTTCTTGAAGTTTTCCTTCAGGAAGGAGAGAGAGTGAGCTGCAAAGCATCGAGGAGAGAGAGAAAACTCTCTGGTTACCTTGGCCTCGAATCTCACTTTCATACAGACAACAGGGTCAGGATCTGACCCTCGAGCACTGATTGGTTGATATTTTTACAAAGATGCAAATTAAGTTGATTGGTTCGTTTAATTGTAACTACCAAGGGGGTGAGGATATTTCTCCCCTTATTTCTTTTGGTAAATTTTGCCTCTCTCTATCAGGGAAGAAAGTTGTTTGTAAAATAAGCAAAAACTTATGCAATAGACAATTTATTCAGTACGTGCGTATTCCTGTTGAATAAAATTGCCAGTTTTATAAGATATGTTTGCTCAAAATCACGTAAAAGCAATTATGATCACTTTCCATAGCTGCTGTTATCTTAGGTTTTTGCTTTTAATATCTCCGTACATGAAAATGTCCACTAATACAGAATATCATATTGAAACAAGCAGGCTATTAAAAGAGATTTTTAGCTTTTACCTAGTTAATGGCAGATTTGAGAGAGAATAAAACAGCGATTATCTTGAAGAGATTTGTGAATTTTTCTCCCTCGTAAAACATGTATTACCTGTGCCAGCAGGAGTTTGCAGTCTTCAGTCATCAACTTGAGGCTTAACTGTTGGTGAAATGTTTCAGAAGGAATGGTACCTGCCATATCTGCATTTGACATAAAAACAAGAGGTGTTTCTTTCAATTAGTGTTCCATAAACATAAAAGAGAAATTTGCTTCAACCAATCAGAAGCACCACCCAGATATGGGTAGTGACACATCATCAGTATGAAATTCCTGTAATTATTTCTCAGAGGCCATTTTGTGGGGAAACCAGTTGTGGCTTCGCCAAATGTTGGCTGTTTTTCTCAGGCTACTGTTTAACCTCCTTTTAACCCTTTAAGCCCTAAGAGTGATCAGCATCCAATTTCTCCTTGTAATATCAATGCTTTGTAAAACAGAGTGGTCATGAGAATTATGGACATGATCACACAAGATGAATCTGCTTGATATTTTATCAACTTCTCCCCACTACTTCTGTAGGAAAGTAATAGGGGCAACAAATGAGAATTCAAATTTTGATCTTAGTGTTTAAAGGGTTATTGTTATTCATGCCAGATGAGTGTGTTCTCTTTCCTTATTACAAATTTTGTAATAGGTGACAAATAAAAAACTTTAAAAAAATAGATAAATTTTTAAATCAAATAATATTACCAGTATTTGTTTGTACTCATTCAATAAATAAACTGTCAAATAAAATAAATAAAAGGGGTGAATTTTACTAACCTTCGCAAGTTTTTCCTCCAAATCCTTCCTGGCAAATACACTCAAAGTCATTCACCTTATCCCTACAAGTACCACCATTCATGCATGGATGTGAAAGACAGTCATTGATGTTGACGGCACAGTTGTAACCTGTAAATCCAGCTTGACATACACACTCAACACTTTGACCCTTATCAGTGCATGACACTGAATTAACACACATGTTGGGTTCCTTGCAGAGGTCAATGTCTATCTCACAGTGAGTGCCCTTAAAACCTGGTCCACAATCACACTGGTAACTATTGACTCCATCAATACATCGGCCTCCATTGTGGCAAGGGTTACTGCCTTTACTTGACAGGCATTCATCAAGATTGTAATCACATTTAATACCATAATATCCTGGTGAACATTGGCACTTAAAACTATTTACTTGATCAATGCACGTGCCATGAACACAAGGTGAGCTGGAACACTCGTCTATGTCAACCTCACAATGAGAACCTGAGGGGGAAAAAAAACAGTTAACCCTTTCAGTCCCAATACTGTCCAACAGCAAGTTTCTCCTAACGATATTCATACATTATCATGAGATTAGGTTATGAGAATTAATAAAATGATCACCCAAGAGCAAATACTTTGATCTTTTATCAAATTCTCTTAACTAATTCTTAAAGGAATGTATAGAGATCAGTTTGGAGAATTTGTATGTGGATATTGGGGCTTAAAGGGTGAAGGCTGTGCTCTAAGAAAAATCGAAGGGAGTCCAATGCTCAGAACGTGTGAAATCCAGGTTGTCAAACACAGGATTTCTATGAAAAAGATATCATTTCCTACTGATCACCTAAGAGCAAAGTAACTAAGGTGCCAGGGGTTATTGGGCAAGTCTAGACCCGGCCCTGACGATAATTTATGAATACGTACGGTACAACCCCGATAACCTTGAAATCCCCGCTAACTTGAACTAAGTCCAATTTCCCCTAGATTTAACCCCACTTTTCAGTCATTATTACTCAATTAACTCAAACTTGGATAACTTGAATTCCCATCTTACTCGAACTAAATATCTTTTCCCTTGATCAATAAGTCACTGAAATTTACCCCAATAACTCGAATCGTGGTTCTACTTTCAACTCCACTTGGATGCCATCCCATTAGCTCTTCTTGTTGTATAAGCATAAAAACACTAAAACTAACACTGTTCAACACTAATGCAATTTGATTTTAATTGGTGAAATGAACAGATTAAGTTTTATCATGACCATGTTACCATTTCTTATGAAATAACTTAAATTTGCACTGCACCAGACACTGAAGTGCTGAAAAATCAGTAACTATCAATTTTTAATATGGCAAATTGAATTTTAAACTGACCCTGATAACTAGAACCCTAACTAACTTG